GAAGAGATATGAGAAGATACCTCCTCCCACACCCTTGTAAAGGTGGGATGTCCCTAGTCTGGAATATTGTGTATACAGTCAGATTTTTTTCAATGTATTTGTTCAGTTTTGCTGATTTTTTTCTGTTCTTTTCTTTTTTTCTTGCCAAAATTTCTTTGTTACATAGGATGGCTCTCTGGAAGGGAGGAACTGAAGGGAAGGTTTAGGCAATGTAAAGATAAAAGATTTTAATTAAATTTATTTTTAAGTTAGACAAGCAAAGGATTTTATATTTGTTCCTGGAGGTTGTAGACCTGGTATTTATTGACATGGTCAGATTTGTGCTTTACAAAGATCATTTTGACAACTGAGTGAGGAATGGATTTAAGTTGGGAGAGATTTGAGGCAGAGGGATCAACCAGAAGGCCACTGCAGTAGTTCTGGCATGATATTAGGAGGGTCTGAGTCAGGATGGCAGACGTAAATGGAGATAAGGAGATGGATATGGGAGATGTAAAGGTGGAAATGGCATAACTTGACAAGAGATTTCCTATGTGTGATGAGTGAGTATGGAATTGAACATAATGCTAAGGTGGTAAGTCTGAGTGATTGAGAGGATGGTGATACCCTTGACAGTAATAACAAAGTTCAGAAGAGTGGACGGCTTTAGGGGAATGAAACTGAGTTGTTTTGGTTATTTTGAGTTTGAAATGTCTACAGGATATCCAATTTGAGATGTCTAAGAAGCAGTTGGAGGGACTATCTGTCTGTCTGTCTATCTCTTCGTCTATCTATCAATTGACACATGCACATATGTGTATCTGGTAAACTGTTCAAATTAATTATCTGAAATAAAAGGAAACTGAGGAAAAAATTACTGAGCATCTATGATTTAATTTGCAAACCTAACATTTGCATATCAAATTAAGTCATCTGACTCCTTAGAGGTCAGACACAAGGAGTGATTTACAGAGATGATTTTTATAACAAAAAGAGGAATAAAAAAATTACAGAAACTGGTTTTGAATATAATTCAGTTGAATAAGGCAGGTTACCTTACTAGGTAGCATCTCCAAGGCTTTCTTAATCTTACCCCAAACATCCTTTCTTTATAGGTGGTGTCTTTTGTAACCAGAAAGTATACTGGAAAAGAGGAGCTTGTGGTCAGCAGTTAGCAGTCACCTCCCTCCTACCCCCATTTTCCTTAGAAGATTCCATTACTGGATTTAGAATATAACTCAAGAAAAAAAAAGGAGCTTGTCCACTAAGACTGGAAAGAAGAACCTAGCCTCTGGCTAACCTTTCTCCAGGTGCCAGAAAGGGGAACTTAACCTTTCTGCTGAAAAGGGAAATTTAGCCTTTGGTCAACCTTACATTCTGTTAAAAAAGGAAACTTAGTTTTTTGAACTTTATGATCTTATGATTATTTTATTCCTCTAAATGATAAAGTCTTATCAATCTATCTATTCACTAAATCTACAGGTAACATAGACTTAAGAGGCTATCTATGTTAGTCTGGCTTAGTTATTAGGACTAGCTTTTCCTAAATAAAGAAGTTTAATCTTATAGTCAAACTAAAAATAAATCAAAGTAATCAATACTAATTGATTTTCTTTTCAAATCACCTGCATATATATGATAATTGAACCATTAACTCATGGGAATTGATGATATCACAAGTGATAGAACATAGAGGAAGAAGAAATGAGGGTCCAGAACAGACCCTTGGATCACAGGATGTGGATAGTTTATGATCTACACTATTAGAGAATAATGATGATGTTGATAATAATAACAGTAGCAATGTTGCTAGCATTTTTATGGCACTTTTAAGATTTGCTAAGTGCTTTAAAATATTTTCTTATTTGATCCTCACAACAACTCTGGGAAGTAGGTACTATTTTTATCCCCATTTTACAGAGGAACAAACTGAGGCAGACAGAGGTTAAGTGATTTGCTCACAATTAGATGGCTAGTGTCTGAGGTTGGATTAGAACTTAGGTTCTTCCTGACTCTAGGTAGAGCACTCTATCCACTGTGCCACCTTGCGTCCTACTTTGATGAGATCAAAGACCCATAGAAGTATATAAGTAAGGCACAGGTCTAAACGTGCTACTACTGAGCTCAAAACCATTCACTTACATCTGGTTATCTCTAGGATAAAATGTATAGTCCTTAGCCTGCTATTTAAGATCCAATACAAACTGGTTCCTTACTAGTCCTGCACACTCCATGTCAAAGCCAAACTGGAATCCTAGCTCTTCATCATGAGAAAGAAAACTATTTTCCCATGCTGTACATTTAAATCATTTTTTTATGCCAGGAATGCATGCCCTTCTCTCACTTTCACCTTTCCACTTCCTTATCTCTTTTCTAGGTTCAGCTGAGGTGCTGCTTCCTCTCTGTAGCTTTCACTGATCCCCATAGCCTATAGCATTTTCTTCATCTTGAAATATCCATAAGGCTACTTTGTCTATTCTCTCCTTTACCCTCCTCATTTCATATCTCACTCTTAATATATTTTATCTATGAATGTGATCTCCTGCGTGTCAGGTGCAGTGCTAGGTGTTGGTGATACAAAGACAGAAATAACTGACACCCTACAATTGAACCATTAACCTCGTGGGAATTGGGTTTTTGTTGACGGATGAGGTTAGAAGCCAGGTTCCAAAGGGTTAAGAAGTGAGTGAAAGGAAAGAAAGTAGAGGCACTTGAGTGTAGACAGCTTTTTCTAGGAGTTTGTGAAAAGGAAAGAGGAGATGTTGAATGATAGTTCAAGAAGATGGAAGGGTCTACTGAAAGAAGGTTTTTAAGGATGGGGAAGAGTTGGGTAACTACCAAGGCAATAAAGAAGAAAGCAACAGATGGAGAAAGACTGAAGGTTAGAGAAAGAGAAGAGGTAATTGAGGAGGCATTCTGCTGAAGAAGTCAGGAGCAAATTGGATTCAAGGGCACGTGTATAGAGGGGTTGGTTTTGGCGAAAAGAATAGCTACCTCATTAACAGCGACTAGTGTAAATGAAGAGAGAGTGTAGAATGTTGTCAGGGGATTTAGAAATGGGAAGAGGAGAGCTCACACTGAATGCCCTCAATTTTGTGTGTGTGTGTGTGTGTGTACTGGGCGAGGGGTGGTGGTGGTGTTGAGTAGACAATATTTAAAAGAGTCTCTGTGGGGAGTTGTTGTTCAGTTGTTAAGTCATGCCTGACTCTATGTGAGCCCGTGGGTTTTGTCTGTAGGGTTTTCTTGGCAAATATACTGGTTTGCCATTTTCTTCTCCTGTGTCCCCATTTTACAGATGAGGAACTGAGGCAAATAGAGGTTGACTTACCCAGGGTCACACAGCTAGTAAGTGTCTGAAGCTGGATTTGAACTTGGATCTTCCTGACTCCAGGCTCAGTGCTCTATCTACTGCACCTCCTAGGATTAAAAAGACTGCACTAAAACCATGTCTCTTACATAATAGGAATATAATAACTTTGTCTAGTTGAATTGTGGTTGAATTCTGTTGACAATGTCAAAAAGAACTTGAAATGAAAAAAATGTTCTCCAATAAACCATATAATGGATTGATTTTATATTTTCCCTTTATATTTTATGTGTATTTATATTTAGTGAGTGGAGAGGTGTTAGTTTATTAAATGCATTGTAACTGTCATATCAAATAAAACCAGTTTATGATGTTAGCCTTATCTTCTAATTAAAACCAGAAGCATGAAGCTATCTTTATACCTGTATACAATAAACAGTTTAATTTCAATGCACTAGGGGAAAAAGATGGTTTAATTGCCCACAATATAACCCATAAGGAAGTACTAACTATGCTAAATTCATGCATTTTAAAATATAGTTTCCATCCAGCCCAAGTGCCCCATTCTACTATTGATTGGATCCTGCTTTAAGATATACATCCATTCCCCTCAGCCCCCTCCACTGACTTGGCAACAGTGAATGAAATCTTATGAATAAATCTGGGGAAAAGCAGCCACTCTGCCCATTCTATAAGGAGGGAAGCATAAACTTTCCCACTCCTCTGTAATTCCATTAAAGGTTTCCCAACTTGAAATTCAGAATCAGAGAATCAGAGAATCAGAAATCCACAAGGATAAAGAAAACAATTGAGACTTTAACTCAGCCTCACCTATAGATTTTAAGGAGTCACATACAAGCCTAGGGCTTTTGACACCAAAGAAAGTCGAAGGGAAAAGATGCCAGAGATTTTTTTTGAAACCGTGAAAGGATTAAAAAGGGCAAAGGACTATAAATCATAAGTATTAAATGATTAATGAAACTGGTACCAAATTATACTTAGGTGTTCATTTCTTTAAATAGCTTGCTCTCGAGTGATTATTTGCTTTCTTGGTTTTAATATGAACCTTGGACAACATTTGCCTTGGAGTCATATCTTATGCCTGAAGTACCACTGCCACTTAATGATGATGTCTTCTGTTTATGGGGGAAGGGTTGTTACCAAGAAGAACCATATGTGTGTATATGTGTGTATGTATATACATATATATGTTGTCAAAAGGTGAACTATAACTCTAAAGTTGCAAAATTATGGCACTTGCCACACTTCTACATAATTAGAAACATTTTTTTTTGCCAGAAGCATTTCCTTTAGAGGATAAATATTAAGAAGGAATAATAGAGGAAGTCTTCAAATGATGTAAAAGAAGAAATTTTGAAAATAGTGGGACAGAGAACATGATTGCTACAAGCCAGAAAGCAAAGAGCAAAAGGAGAGGGCTTTCAGTAAATACTTACTAACTTAGGTTGAAGACTTAGACTCTTTTGCATTCAGAGCCAATCCGGAACACTAATTCAGTTCTAGGTACCAATAAAGGAGGAGATCAGGAAAAAAAAAAAGATAACACCAAATTTTCATTTGGAAGCTCCACCAACCTTACCCTATTCTAGGATGTCCAAGTATAAATAACTTAAAATTTATAATTTAATTACTTGCATTTATTCCACTATCATCCCTACTAACTCCTCTATTTTCTTCCCTTTGTATTTATCAGATAATGCTTCTCAGTGATCCTGAGATTGAGAGCAGCATTTTGATTAGCTCAGATGAAGGTGCAACCTACCAAAAGTACCGGCTGAACTTTTATATTCAGAGCCTGCTTTTCCATCCTCAGCAGGAAGACTGGATCTTAGCCTACAGCCTGGACCAAAAGGTGAGTGAAAATGCTTCTGGTGTGCACATTTCTTCAGGACATATATCCAGGGAATTTAAAAAGCAAACAAACATTAATTGAGTAACCCATTATTGGGCCCTATATTTAGAGCTGGAAGGAAACAAAGAGGCCATCAAACCCAAACCCTTCATCCCCAAAAAGCTTAAGTGGGTCATACAGCTACTAAATGTCTGGGGTAATATTCAAACCCAGATCTTCTAACTCCAAGACAAATGCTGATTCGTTAGGCACTACCTCATCAAACAAACCAAAGAAACTAAAATATAAATAAACTTGATTTAAAAAAAAATACCTAAATTTCCCCAAAAAATATAAACTTAAAAAGAAAGACACAAAATATTGACTTTTGGGGGGGGGGAATTAAGGTGTATGTGGGTAAACATAGCATGCCCTATATGCAGGTCTGTTTTCTTAGGATTTTTGATACGATTTAATAAAGAGAGAAACATCTGAAGCAAAATTTGCATTTCATCATTTCAATTTGAATAGCTAGTTTTCCATGCTCAGAATGTGCTCTCTGCACTCTGACACCTCCCCACCCCCAGCCTCCATTCCTGGTCCACCTTTGGAGGCATATTCTTTTTCAATAGTGGTTTCAGAATGGATTGGAGTGTTTTAACAGCAAAAAGGAGACCTCAGATGAATTCATTCATCTTTTTTCCTTCTGATAATTTAGTGATCTTCCCACTAGTGTTATTGCTGAATCTGCATCCAGCTTCCCTAGGTCCCATACACAGTAGATATTTCTAGTATTCTGTCTTGCATGGACCTGTCCTTGAAATTACCTTGATTCAAAACAAACAAACAAAAACCCTTTCCCTCCCCCTTCTCTCTTACTCAGATCCATAAAATAGCAGCTTTTTTTGCAGGGAGAGTTGGGGGGAAGAGACATATTTCAATGTATAACTGAGTGTGATGTCTGCACCTTAAACAATCACTTCAACATAACCCTTCTTTCTCTTGACAAGGAAACTGGATAACGATACCAAGTGCTTATTGCTACCCCCTCCCCAGGAGTCCTCAAATGACATTTGTGGAAGCACAGCTATTGTAAATACAATTCTTTCACAGTGTCAAGTGGATGTTATAAAAAAAAAAGACTTTGTCAAATGTCAGATAGTTTATAGGCTTAGGTTTTTGGTGTAACTGCAAATTTTAAAGTAGGGCTGAAAAAATAATATATTATTTTTATGACACTAAATGTTTCAATGCCATTTTTTTTTAAAGTCAAGCCAGCAATGTTGAATGAACTACACTTGGCTTAGTATAGAAGCAAGCCTAGGTATGGAAAAGCAGCTGGTGGTATGTGTGCCCCAAAAGTGATAAATTGAACTGAATATGCATAGCATGTATCTGGGGGTGGGATGGAGAAGAGTGCTTTGCCCCTTCCCTCTGTCCCTTGGTAGCACCCACATCTATACCATTGCTAACATAATACATGTAGAGATACGATGCTATCAAAATGCTTCTAGACTTCTTGGCTGCTTTTTGCTCAGTTGAAATATGGGAAAGATGTGTCATAAGCATTGATGGATTTTCTTCATCATTCGACAGATCTTTGGAGAAGCTGCTAGTCCTTCGGTGCTCCTTCTTGTTGACAACTTTGCATAAAGTGACTGAGTGACTGAGTGTTCCTTGTGCCCATAAAACTCCCACCTGATGCCCTGCTATTCCTCGCAGAAATAAATGGCCACAAAGTGACAAAATGCCCCAGGCCACACTTAAAAATCTGCCATAAAGCATTTCTTTCCACTTCTCCTTTCCCCTCCCCACAAAAGCAAACCTCACAAACCTTTCCATTAAAAAAGGGGTCTCTTTCCTTTTCCTTTTTTGTAGTTTAAGGATTGAGACAGCTGAGACTAGCATCCTCAAGCAGCAGATTAAAATGCAGATGTCTTCCTGAATTGAGACGCAGCCTTGCTGTTTTCAAGCTTGAGATGCTAATGTGTAGCAGTGAGGCTGCGATGCCTTCTTTCTTTAGAAGAAAAGGAGAATGTCTCTGTTGCGATATTCTGGTATTTATCTCTGGGAGAGGTCATTTATGTGCAGGGGTCTATAGATCCCAACTGAAGATGTACTTTGAGGATTTCATGAATCCTGAAGCCCATCTGATTAACTTTTGTGTATCACAAAGAGTCCTAATTGAACAGTATTTTAAAGGGACAGTGTGCACATGTTAATTCTCAACATGACACCCTAAACCTTTTGGAATCTGCCAGGAACCATGGAATGCTTAAATGCATTGTTAAAGAAACAGGAAACTAAGCTTACAAGAAAACCATATCTACTGTTTAAAATAAAATGTAATTAGAGAAGTGTAGCAGTCTGAGGAATTGTATTTCCTTGGTGGCAGTGGTAGTGGACAGGCAGGGGATAAAAGCAGGAGAAAATATTCCCTGGGTTAAAGCCTTTTAGGAAGGGATATAGTCTGAGTCAAAGAGTAGGAGTCAGAGGTTCCAGACCTACATTTTGGATAAGTTACATAGCCAGTCTGTGGTATGGAAGGAAAAGAAGGAAGGAAGGAAGGAAGGAAGGAAGGAAGGAAGGAAGGAAGGAAGGAAGGAAGAAAAGTAAAAGAAGGGAGGAAGGAAGGGAGGGAGGAAGAAAGGAAGGAAGGGAAGGGAGCAAGGAAGAAAGAAGTACTTACTATGTGCCAGGACCTGTGCTAAGCACTTTACAAGTATCCCACTTGGGAATATGTTTATCATGACTGTACATGTATAACCTATGTCAGATTGTTTGCTGTCTTTGGAATGGGAGAGAGAAGGAGGGGAGGGAGAAAAGTTTGGAGCTCAAAATCTTATACAAATAAATGTTGAAAACTATCTTAACATGTAATTAGAAAAAAATACTATTAAGTAGGGGGAAAAAACCCAATATCCCACTTGATCTTTACAACAACCCTAGGAGATAGGTGCTATTATTATCCTCATGTTACAGTTGAAGAATATGAGGCAAAGAAAGATTGTGACTTGCCCAGGATCACATAATTAGTAAGTGTTGGAGGCTCAGTTTTAACTCAGGTCTTCTTAACTTCAGGTTTAGTGCATGATCCATTGTACCACACTAGATTTGGGGATTTCACATCCCATATCTTTTGCTTAATACATGTATGATCTTCAACAAGTCAATTCATCTCTCTGGGCCTCATTTTCTTTCTATATAAAATGGCCCTAAACTCTTCCTCTTCCTTGGTGACTTCTACATACAGGTATATACTAATTGTATTATTATGGAATTAGATTTCTATCCCCAACAGGTTGTTTCCCATTATGGCCAAGAACATCCTTGCACTTAGTTGGGAGGCAGGAGGAATGTTTGACTAACCCCAAAAACCAGTTTTCTCATTAGAAAGATTTCTTACAAGATTTCAAGATTGATTTTGAAGATTGATGGTGAACCTTTGGACAGATAAGTCCTGCTCTCATCTCATGCCTGCACAATGTTAGAAACTGCAGAAATCTTTTTAACTAGGAGCCTGTTGTGACAAAAAAACAAAAACCTAAAATGAAAACAAAAGCAAAAATGAATGCAGGCTTTTAGCATAAATCCTTTTCCTCTTTCCCCTTTTCCCTTCCCTTAGTCCTTACCTTATAGGTGCATTTCAAAGAAGAGGAAAAATTGAAAACAACTATTTTTACATAAATGACAAGATTTGGAAATCTCCCCATTATCGTTCATTTCTTGGCAAAAATTAACTCTGACTAGCTGAAGCTGGAGAGTTGGGGTAAGAAACCTCATGGAATTACCGGCTGCATGTACAGTCTGCTCAAGCATTTAGTGTCAGAAATATACATATGTACACATGCATATACATGCATTCTGAAACAAGATAATACAAGACAGGAGAGACAGCTGGATAGATGTTCTTGTGAAAAGTATTTGAAAGTGGTAGCTGAACACAAGCTCAATGTGAGTCAGCAGGGACCTATGGTAGCCCCCTGTCTCCTCTGCCAATTCCAAATGTGAATTTAGGTTGCTTTACTAGAAGTAAAGGGTGTTTAAGTGATATTCCATTTGTACTCTGACCTTGTCAGACTACATCTGAATCATTGTGTTCAGTAATTGGTACCACATTAAGAAAGTAGAGTATGACAGATAAAGATCATTAGGCTGGTGAGGAGACTCAGAGCTATGTTGTAAAAGGAATAAGTCAGTTAGGCAAGTGACTTTGGTCTGTTTAGCCTAGATGAGCATAGACTTAGTGAGAGAATGATCACTTTCTGCAAACATTTGAAGAACTTTTATAGGGAAGAGATATTGGGTCTTTTTAATGTTGTTGAAACTAGCACCAACTGTTCCAAGTTTCAGGGAAACAGATTTGAGTTCAATACAGGAAGAATTTTCTAACAGTGAAATGGACTATTTCATAAGGTAGTAAACTCCCCATTACATGAGGTGTTCGAACAGGATATAGATGACCACCTGTTGGGATGCTATTAAAAATATTCTCACACTGGGAGGGAGATTGGAGTAGATGATCTTTAAGGAATTTTCAAATTCTAGGAGATTATCATTCAGTGATACAGTTAGAACCCCAGTCAATAAAAGCAACCTAGAATGGAAACATGTCCTCCTGCCCAGTTAAATGCAGATGAAGCCTTGACTTCCATTTGGATTGTTTTTTTAAGTCCTCAGATTAGAACGTGTAATTGTACTCTTAGGCTCTAGGATTAGCAGGTGATGATATTTTTCACTGGAAGCCCTCGGCAATTCTAGGATTAGTGACTTGCTACATTGTGGGGATAAAGCCATTATAGATTAACTAGCTATGATTTGCAGCATTGAATTTCATTTGAGCTAGGAAAAAGAATAGGACAAAAACTTTCCTCTTTTTTTTTAATCTGTGAATCCATGCCCACTACATTTTTACTAACATCCTCCTCCCTCCTTCTCAACACCATCTATGTTTAATTCACAGAGGACAACAACTACCACACATAGCCCTATTGACCTATGAAGGGTTATAGTCAAAGGAC